ACCTCTGAACTGTGTGCATTTAAAAGTATGATTTAATTATTCGAGAATTCTGTCCAAATCACCGCATTGAATACAACATAACACCAAGTTCTATCATTTCTTCTACAACCGATAGCATTTTCAAAGTAAAATTTACTTCTTCTTTAATCTCAGTGTAAACAACATGTGGATTTTGTTAATAAACATATTTCTGTTGAAATCAGTTGTTTATAGAAACAGTAATGATCATACTTTGTTGTCAACTATCACCTCATTCCATCTCATAATCAGATAATATGGTATTGTTTATACTATATTCTGTTAAGTAGGTGTAATACAAATCTTAGTTGGAATGAAATATTTCGTTTCCTAATAATCTGTTCATGTGACTGGCAGAATGATTAGAATTCTCAAGTTATAGAAGATTACTACTTTCCTAAAGGAAAATCAGGTGAAAACAATCACTGTTGTAGTATTTATAAAACTCTTGGGTTCAATCTTCCTGACTTTTCGTTGTCTGGAGTACCTGTAGTTATCGAATGTTGTTCAACTGTGTATCAGAGATCTGCATTATTGTATGGTAACTTCGCAGCTGGTCAAACACTGGTAACAGACAATGTATATGTATCATATTGTATTTTAGCTACAGCTAAATTCATAGAAACGGACTGCTGATTACCCCTCTTATCTAATTGGAACGATCGCCTTTGCTCATTCATTTTGTTGGGAATCAGCAAGTAAAACCTAGGTCACTAATACTTCATCTGCCTTCACTTACGGGAGGCTGGACGCTAATTTCTTCATTCTATCGGTAAAGATTTGTGCGTATGTCGTTTGGTCATAGATGAAAAATAATTGACTGTCTTCAGGAGATACGGCAACTGAAACAGTGGTCGTCAAAAGTCAGAGGGATCGATTTCCCATATATTTTTTCAAAATAAATCCACAAGAGAATTTAAATTTTCTATTCATTTTACTACACTTTCCAAAGCGCAAGCATATTGAGGAAGCTAAGCGTATACTCAAGAACGATCGACTCATGGTGCGTGATCTATTCCCTGACCATCTTTTCGATCTGTCATTCTACGTCAACTCTGTCCGATTGTGGAATAAAAAGGCTTATCATCTTCCTCAGTGTATCGATCCTCTCATTTATCGTCAAGTAATGCAACTACGTATTGGTTGCATTTTCATAAGACATGTTTATAAAAATGAATAAATCGATGTGTAGATGAAGGAGAAAAGTAGACAGAGAGAAAGCACAAGAATACAAAATGCTGTAATTTCATAAAATAGAAGTGACTGACTCAATTCGCACCACAACATCGATTGTACGTAAAGTGTCATGACTTATTATTATGGTTAGTAATGTTACATTGTAATAAAAAATGTTTACAGGATGAAGAACGTGTAATGAGATTAGTGAGAATATCAATCCACAACAGTAATTGTAATCCATTAGAATACTCGAAATGGAGAGGTAGTACGTTGATTTTCCAATTTAGATCGTACCGTGGAGATCGGCGTTACATTCTCATCTATGCCTCATTATTCCTGTCGTTCAAAATATTCGAGATAAATCTTAAGGCTTCTTATGTCACTGGTCTAAATGACTGTTATTAAATGAGTTTCTGAGTTGCATGAATTTCAGAAACGCAATACGAAATCTTGACTAAAATCTAACATTGTGCAGTACACTCCACTAAACCACAATTGCGCAAAGCGAATTCGAGAACAAATATAAATGCAGTTGAATTACAACGAGTAAATACACAGTCAAAATAAGAGTCAAGTGAAATGAAAAGATTCAGACACATAAATATATACATAGAAAAGTGAACTAGTCATTGAACGATTAAATCAGCTAACATTTAGGCTAGTAAGGGGAAACGTTTATTGGCCGTGCCATCTGATCAAGTAAAAATGTTCATGCAGATATGATAATAGTAATAGAAAGATCTAAACAAATTGTTTGTTGTTTCTAAGATACTGTATGTTATCCTAAAGAGAGCAAGAACAAAGATTCGTTCAGAATAATATGAATTCATTTTAATTCGTCAGGTTCTCATCAGCTGCCCACAACCAAAAATATTTAAAGTTCATCATTATTACAGATATTGACATATTTATACATAAGATAGTGAATAAGGATGAATAAATGTATCATGGTATAACGAAGATTCCAATAGACTTGATGTGGTCATAATAGTTTGTCTCGAATAAATAAAGTTTGAGAGGGAAAGTTCCAGAACATTGAAACAGTGATTAGAACTCATGAAAATAGATTAATGGCAATAAAGAAAATATGAATTGAAATTAGTCACTTATGTAAGATGTAATTTAAACGTCAAAAAGAGTTGGAATAGTGACGCAGTAAATAAATAAATAGGAACAGATGAATAAAAAGGGTGGAGGTTATTGTTACCAGGGTAAAAACGGTTTTATTACTGTCTCTTTTTGTATACATAGGTTTGGTTTTATACTTTAGATTGCTAACGCTTCAACACATTTCAGAATGTTGGAGCTTGATTGTTTACTAATCACCTTGAAAAACTTCAGTGTATAGACTTCGTGTCCTGTGTCAAGGAGATGTCTTGCGATGACACTGTTGAATGTTTTCAATCTATTTGATGTTAAACTTTTGGGAACGTGTTTTTTTAATTTTACCTAGGCTCCCTTTCTGTTCTACCAATGTAACTGCTTTGGCAGATACATGTAAATTTGTATACAGAGTGGGTGGTAGCATGAAAGGGATACATGTCGACCGTTGATTGTGTCAAACAACATTTTGTTTTGGATAGGGCAATCAATTTTGCTGTAGTATAAGTTCTTGTCAATGCAGTTTTTAGTCTCATATTGATTGATCCTGTGACATTTATCACCTTTGAATTTAAGTTGAATAAAAATAGGCTTTAATTTGCTGTAATTTATTTGGGTCTTTTATCTTCACGTTTGTCATAATTCTCAATCAAATTCAGTGAGTGTCCGTTATTCTTTCAACATCTTTTAACATTCACAACTTCCTCTTCTAGTGTATCGGCAGTACATATTCTTTCTGTTCTGTGAAACAATGTTTTGACCGGTGCCTTTTGTAACTGATTAGACAAAAGCTATTTAAATTGAGATAACTCACATTCCATGTGTCTTTCTTATAAACTGAACGTTGAACTGTAACATCCTTTCTTCGTTTCATCACCATATCGAGAAAATGGAACTTGTTTTTTTTCATGTTCCATAGTGAAATGAATAATTGGATGGGCTTCGTTGAAAATCTTCAGCACATTTTTTGCATGTTTATGATCAATACATGCGATGAAGGTATCATCAACATACATCAATACTGATCTATTCAATACCCGTTACATCATATTTCTCAACAAATAGAATATTATTCGGAAGTAAAGTTCAAATTTAACTTTCCTCAATTCACACTTTAATGGCGTTATGTTGTATTCATATTAAAATGAGGAGTTTGTCTGAAGATAGTTGAATGCACTGACAAGCGTGTCCTGGTCAATCATAGAAAACCTTTGAGAACTAGACAGATGTGTCATTTCATGATGAGAATTATCATCAATAAATAGTTACGATTCAGGTGAAGAATGAATTTCAGGTGTTGTGGGTGATCTGTTACCATAGAATGGTGGAGAAGATTTGTAGCTCAGGTGGATGATTCTGATGGAGTTTTGTTCTCTGATCTAGAGGGCCTTCGCAAAATATGAAATCTTTAAACTAAATACATTAAAAGCACATCTTGCTTCGACTGTCGTTCACACTTCTGTTCTCTTCAGTTAGATCTTCTCAAACTTCTCTTGTCAGGTTTTTAACTTCACATTAGTGTTGCAGACTACTTAGTTTTGTCAATATCAGTAGCATACACTACATTATTAGATATAGATAAACATTTATTGATATCCTTCTCACTATTAAGTTAATTAAACACCTCCTACTGTTATTTTATTCTCATTTTCATAAATTACAATAGAAATTATACTATCATTTGTGGTTGAACAATCCTAATGGTTTCCTTATTGATGGATGAAGAAGATAATTAACTTTATTGTTTGATTCAATGGAATACTTTGAGTAGAGGTTGATCACAATTCACTTAGAGATAATTAAGCTGAATGCAATAAACAGTCTTATTTTGTGAAGGGGTAGACAAAATCACTTTCTAAACAACATTCATTCTAAACATACCAATACCTCTTCAGCATCTACGGATATATGTGAAGGAATATTCTGAAACATCAGTGAGGCAATTCAAAAAAGTTTCTATTGTGTGAAGTTCCCCACTATCGAGTACATTTATTGAACTGAGCATACTCGAATGGAAACGCTGAAATGGCTGACAATTCAAAATGTCGTATAATAAGTCAAAATGTTGGTGATCATTCAGATAACTTCGTTGAAATAGTTTGATTAAGTGAATTTGGATAAATGACACTTGGCACCGAAATTCCAAGCGGATCATCGAAATTGAGAACCTCTTTCGTTTAAACGCATTCGTGAACCTTCAACCTAACCATATGCATTCGTACGCTATAAAACAGTTATCTCTAGATGACTTATTTCAAACGGCGAATGTATAAAATTATGCTTACAAAAATAACGCCAAAATGACGACGATCAAAGCGGTGTTTTTACTGATGACGATTGAGTATGTCACAAGTCTAGCTTTCATACATACACCAAGCAATAAAACTCTAGAATCGTAAAAGTGTAGATGATGACTGGTGATTCAAAATGATTTCTTATTAGGTCACCTTATTCTCCGTGAAGGGAATTCAATTACGACAGCCTGTAGGCACACATTAAGAAATCAAACACGACCAAATTACAAGTGAATAAATTGGACTTCAAAGTTTTTTCAACAAAAAAATATGAAAGAAAATCAAAATTTATTGAAAAAAATTCAATGTCATTTTTAAGGATAACATATACTATTCATGTCATGATTACGTAGTTCATTACATATCCAAGAATGTAGGAATGTGTTAAATTTGCCTGTTGAAAATGAAGCATCTCTTCAACATTTTTGATATCTCTCTTTAACTACTTTCATTATCGAATCTCCTGTATTAACTCTCGTGTATAACTGCTTGTCATCGATGACACTTATCTCTAAACGTACATGTTTCCCGTGCCTTATCGAGCCATTAGTTTGTAGCGTGGTGTGAAAGTGGAGATTGTCTATGAACACCGCTACAGAGAGACACGTGCCAAATAAATCCATAAAATCCCCCGGAAGCCAAATATCAGAAGGCAGGTAATGGATCAAATAGAGATAATATTCACTGGCGATCTCGTGGTATCGAAAGGATATCGAGATCGTGCCAGGATACAAGCTTGGTTACAGAACGTAACCGAATTCGCGCGAAGTCATAATCAAAAATGTAAGCAGAATAATGGAAGCACAATATAGCTGTCATTAGCACAGTTAAACAAAGAGCATATTAAACAAGCACAGGTACAATTGGTATGACAATATTCCATTTTTCGAAAGATTCTTTATTTATGATAGAACAATTAGCCAATCTATGCTTTTTATCGTTTCAGATATTTATGAAGTTATGACGTTCGTGAAGTAATACGCATGCAAAAACTCGGTCACGCACCACAGCAAACACAGTTGACTTCCACTGGTTACGTCTTCTCAGTAGAACTCCGTGAAATTCATCATGAAGTCAATCACCAGTGAGCAAACGATGACGAATCCCATACTAGAACAAGACGACCATCAATTGCTTCCTAATTCTCTATTGTGGTCCAGCTTTGATCGAATCATGAATTCCACCGTTAAATTACTACAATCTTCATAAACCACCATTCGGGTACGTTGATTTGCAATCCGTGTTTTACATTCTTATTATATATCAGAGGAGATTGACGTGATAAAATAGAGGAATTGATGGTCGGCTATGATGCTTAAAACTAACGGTTGAAAAATACACACAGAATATGCAAACACAAGGTATATTTAAACGAACAATTGATTACATCATCAGGCTCAGCAGTTAAAGATCCATGATAATTGTCATATTTTACAAACTACCAAAATAATACAGGTATGAATGAAATGGACAATGTTATGTGTGAACAATGATGAACATTATCATGTGTTACTATGGTAATACTTGAAGATGGTGTGATTTGTGAATTAGGATATGTTAGTTCGGTTTTCAGGAGTTTATCCAGATGACTACAGTTATGTTGAGTACCCGTAGCCTAGCTCCTGTTTCTTTACTGACCATTTCATTCAACCATCTTATATCTTATAAAAAATAATATATTTGTCATATTCCAATGAGTAGAAAAACTAGATTTTCTGACGTTTCGTGACTAAGTGTAAGTCACTTCTTTAGAGAATAATTAACCAAATTAAAATTAATCCAAGTTTAAATAGTACAACGGAACGATGCAACAATAATATTTGATTAATCAAAAAACAGGTCTGAACAAGTTAATTTCATGTCATTTCTGTCTTTGTGATTCATAAGTGATATGTATGTAAATTTGTATGTGAATGTATGTGTGCATTGTTTAAGAATGAAAACTTGTGTGACCTTTATGGTAAGAAAGGATAGAGTTTAATTTGTAATCTCGTAGTGTGAATTGTAAATACGATCAGACTGAATGGCTAGGATAGACAGTCCAAGTAGGATGTATGGTAAGGCCTTCTTTTCTATTAAGCATTATATGGAACACTTCAGCCACTCTACTTTCTTTGTAATTGGAAAGGCCTTTTTGCAATATTTTGATATTTTTAAAACCAATTTGGTGGTTTAATTCACTTGATATTGTTTTTTATTTGAATCTTCCCATTGATGTTTTAGGACTGAAGTTGATCAGCCTCTTATTGGCAAATGTGCATACTGTGCGTATGCCTCGATATTGCCTTAATTTACAAGCATTATAAGCAGAGATGGATAGTGGCTAGCAGTGGAATCCAGGACGCACGTTTCGTCCTGTTTGGGACTCGTCAGCTGGATGTACCTGCATCTCAGAGTTGATGTTCACTCTGGGACTCGAACTCAGTACCGTTCGCTCCAAACGCCATCGCGTTATCCACTTAGCTACTGAGTCCTTATAACCACTTGCTTGTGCAATGGGGTGATAGCCACTTGATGTGATGTCATCATATTTAAACCAAATATTAATAATAACCATAATAAATCAATAGTACAATACCATAATAATAATGGCCATGTTGCTGGGAAATAATTTTCTATAATAGATTGACATCTCATTAAGATCATGATCTTTTGATTAGATTTATTGGATAATTTACATAGATGATAAATACCTGTTATAGATGTTAGAAGACTTAAACGATTCATGAATAATAATATAGGTAATAAATATTTTTGTAATTTAATAGATACTTTCTCTTGCCATGAATTATGATGCATTAATGTAAATACATTAGTAAACCATGTTGATCTACCTAAATTACACCATGTATATAATGATTGTAATTGTGTTGGTGCAAATAAATTATGACTAGTTTGATTCATAGTTGCTATGACAATAGAATGATTTAATAAAATCACTTGTTGTTGTATTAAGTCATTTAAATCTAAACATTGACGCATAGTTGACCAAAATAATGTCAAATTTCTATTCAGTAATTCATTTAATTTTAAATCAGAATAATTATTACTATGATATATGAATGAGATATTATCATTGAATAAACGTTTAGCTTGATAGATTGCATCTAAATTAAGTGAATTCATAGTATTATGATATACCTTAGTGACTAGTGTACTACCATCATTATTATTATTAACCATTTCAAGACAGGGAGATATCTTGACAGCTTTATATATATATGTATAGGTGAAATTTTATTAACTGCTGTGATTGGCTAATCATGGTTGACCAATCATATATATGGAAAATATATCAACCAATCACAATACAAGGAATAGAATAGGCTATCTAACCAAAACACAATTGTATGTAAGAAGAATATTCCGCGTAACGCATCTGTTAATGGTTGCAATATTGACGCATAATTCGGGATAAATCGTCTGTAATAATGTATTAGCCCGAGAAATCGGCGTAACGTTTTCCATGAGTCGGGTAGAGGATAATTCTTAATGGCATCAACTTCTGTTGCTATTGGTGTGATGCCTTGAGAAGTTATATTGTGACCTAGGAACTGTAAAGATTTTTTTCCGAATTCACACTTCTCAATATTTATAGAAATACCATGTTCTCTGAGTCGTATAAATAATTGCCGTAGTTGTTGTATATGCTCATCTTTAGTGGTGCTAGCTACTAATAAATCGTCGATATACGCGTATACCCCAGGTAAACCTCTAATAACCTGGTCGATAAACCGTTGAAAGGTTTGTGCCGCGTTAGTCAGTCCAAAAGGCATACGCAGGGATTCATATAGCCGTAATCGGGTTGTTACTGCTGTCTTCGGTATGTCTTGTCAGGCGATAGGGATGTGGTAGTATGCTCTGACTAAGTCGATCTTCGAGAAGATAGTAGTGCCCTCTATATTGTAGGTGAAATCATGAATGTGCGGTATAGGATATCTATCAGCTACTGTTTGTTTGTTTAGTGCTCTGTGATCCCCACATGGCCTAACCTCTCCATTCTTTTTCGGGGCCATATGTAGCGGGGATGCCCACGGGCTGTTCGATGGCCTTATAATGCCTAGCCTCATTAGCTTGTCGAATTCCTGTTTAGCGACAGTTAGTCTTTTGGGATCTAGCCTTCTTGGTCTTGCATTAATTGGTGGACCACTCGTTACGATGTGATGCTGGATAGAATGTTTGAGATCTGCTTTACTGTATGTTACTTTTACAAGTTCAGGGAACTCCTTTAACAACAATTTATATGGGTCATCACGACTTTTATCGATCACAAGATTCATTGAAACGGCTTCCGTAAGTATTCCTCTTATCGAAGTGGTTTGACTGCCGTTTATAAGTCTGTGTCGTCTAGAGTCTACTAGCAGGTCAAAGTTACATAAGAAATCTATGCCTATTATGGGTATCGATACGTCTGCTATGACAAAGTTCCAGCGGTATGAAGCGCCACGTCCAAAATCTAGGGACAATTTCCGTTTACCATATGTCTTAATATCTGATTTGTTTGCTGCTCTTAGCACTAATGACGGATTAATGTTTTTTCTTTCCTCGTTAAATGGAGGTACTACGCTAATTTCCGCTCCAGTGTCAACTAAAAATTGCGTGCCAGTGGTTCGGTCTTGTATATAAAAGAGGCGACTATTTTCAGGCATTACGTGTGTTGATGCTGTTGCCATTGATACTCGTGGGTATCGGTTACTAGCCCTGTTAAATCTACAAGGTTGTAGGCACTTTCTAGCCCTGTAGCCGAACATTTGATGATACCAACATATCGCGGGAGTTGGGCGTCGTCTAGAAGTTGACCGGGCCCTTTCACGCGAACGATCTCGCGATGACCTTCGTGGCTTTTCTCTCTGCGTTAACTCTGAGAGTTTTCGGCATAAAACATTTATTTCCTTCTGTAGAGTATCAAGTCTATCGTCTACTGTCACGCTATGTAGTGGAGGGCTTGCTTGCTTGCTTCTTTTGTATATTCTATCGGCTATCTTTGCTATATTGTCTAAATCAGCATCCGTATCTCCTACAGCTAGGATCTGCTGAATATTTGCCGGGAGTCGGCGGAGCCACAATTGATAGAAGAGATTATTGTCAATGTGTCTATCGCCAAGTAGACTTTTCATATAATTTTTTAGTTGTGATGGGGTTCTATCTCCAATTTGTACTTGGCTAAGGAGTTGTTCGACGGCTTGTTGGTCACTGAGAGAGAGAGTTTTAATTACAGCCTCTTTTAGCACGTCGTATGGTTTTTCTGTGTCTGGTTTTGCTAGTGCCTCTCGAACGTTGTCAGCTACTTCGTCTGGGAGTAGTGTGCTTGTCAGGCCGAACTTATCCTTTTACAAAAGAATGCGGTTAGCGAGAAAATAATTTTCAAGTCTTATAAACCAAAGTTTTGGGTCTGTGATTTTAAAAGAAGGGGCAGGAAGGTTAATAGACCTCACGGACGAGGCTTGCTGTACGCTTGACACTGTGCTTTCGTAAGACATGCTTATAAAAATTAAATAGCACACGAAAATAATGTAACAGTCACAAGGAAAAATAGACGGGCGAAAACAATGATAATAAAAAAATGGCACAATTTATAAAATGGAACAGACTTACTAAATTGCACCAATATATCAATTGTTTATGGATAATTGTTATTTATTATGATTATAATTGCCACGTTTAATAATGTTTACGAAATAATGTAAGTGTAATTAAAATAATAATATAAATCCACAGTTGTAATTATAGTTCATTTGATAATCCAAATTGAGATGAAGGTAGTCGGATTTTTGGAATTTGATTATTTCGTCAAAATTCGCTTCCCGTTCTCACGTCGGGGTTACCAATTCTGTAGTGGCTGTGCTTCGTTATATAATCACCCTCGAACCGTTATCGTATAATCTTCAACGATATTTGAAATCAGAAGGCAAAAAGAAGCAGCTACTACAGTTTATTTAGTAGATAATTCGGACCAGACAGCAGAGAGGCAAAATGAATGAGCAAGCGAACTACGATTGTAGCAGTAGCAAGTAGCTGTAGTCAATGCGTGCAAAATGTACAGGTATATATATGTATAGGAAAATAGATGAGTCAGCGAATAGATTAAGCAGTTAATAATGAAGCTAGCAGAATGAATACATGCGTAGGCGCTAAACAATGTTCAAGCATATGTATTTCATACAAGCATAGTAATAAAGATAGTACAACAAGTTGTTATATCATGGATGACTTTGTCCATTAAATAAGTTAACAAAAGTGCTTAACTGAGTTAAATGAGAATAAACCCATTTGCACGTGAGTCGCTATAATTTTACTAATTTTATATAACCATATTAAATGTGTATTAATTAAACATAATAATGATGTAATAATACTAAATAATACTAAACCACCTATTCGACTTAAACCACATTCATTCCAATGACATAAATCATTTAATAATCTCTCATAATCATGATTAGTAGTAGGATTACTACATTCTTTACATGATATTACGTAATCATTGTTTCTATTCAATGATTGAAATTGTTTTTTAGATGTTTGTTTCAATCCATATAGAATACAATCAAAATATAATTTCTTTTTAAAATATAATAGAAAGGTATGAAAATAAGATCGTTTTGATAATGAATGATATTGATCAGGATCATTCATATCATATGATGTTACATTATTATTATCATTATTATAGATTATTTTAGGGATTATTAATTGATTATTGATTGATTGATTAGTAATACATTGATTACAATATTGACTAGATAATTGATTTAATCGATTTTTATTGATTATTGATTCATCATGATGATTACATGATATGATCATTGTATAAATATGATTTCGATTACGATATTCACCAATAGCTCGATCACATAACATTAAACTCATTAACCATGTTGGTATATATCTTAATATATTTTTTAAATAAGTTATAATACGACAATAATTATCATGACTATGGATACTAATATGAATATTGAAATATTGATGTGATGTCATCATATTTAAACCAAATATTAATAATAACCATAATAAACCAATAATACAATACCATAATAATAATGGCCATGTTGCTGGGAAATAATTTTCTATAATAGATTGACATCTCATTAAGATCATGATCTTTTGATTAGATTTATTGGATAATTTACATAGATGATAAATACCTGTTATAGATGTTAGAAGACTTAAACGATTCATGAATAATAATATAGGTAATAAATATTTTTGTAATTTAATAGATACTTTCTCTTGCCATGAATTATGATGCATTAATGTAAATACATTAGTAAACCATGTTGATCTACCTAAATTACACCATGTATATAATGATTGTAATTGTGTTGGTGCAAATAAATTATGACTAGTTTGATTTATAGTTGCTATGACAATAGAATGATTTAATAAAATCACTTGTTGTTGTATTAAGTCATTTAAATCTAAACATTGATGCATAGTTGTCCAAAATAATGTCAAATTTCTATTCAGTAATTCATTTAATTTTAAATTAGAATAATTATTACTATGATATATGAATGAGATATTATCATTGAATAAACGTTTAGCTTGATAGATTGCATCTAAATTAAGTGAATTCATAGTATTATGTTATACCTTAGTGACTAGTGTACCACTATCATTATTATTATTAACCATTTCAAAACAGGGAGATATCTTGACAGCGTTATATATATATATAAATAAAATAAAATAAAATATATAGGTGAAATTTTATTGGCTGCTGTGATTGGCTTATCATGGTTGACCAATCACATACATGGAAAATATATCAACCAATCACAATACAAGGAATAGAATAGGCTATCTAACCAAAACACAATTGTATGAAAGAAGAATATTCTTTTCAATAATTTCTCATTAGGTTCTACAATTATAAATCCAGAATATTAATCCATAAAACTGGCCAGATTTAAGGCAAAATACATCATTTTGAAATTGTAACTGTATCTAACCAAAATAAGATGTACGAACGACTGGTGTCACAAAAAACTTGGTCGACATTTAATCAAGATTTCGATATATTGAGTTCCAGGAATTTTCTTATTTTTAAGAATAAATTAGCTTAAACATACTGTGATCATAGATGATAACCGGGTGATTAGTTCTATTTCAAATTAAAGTGTACATTTTACCGTTTTTGTTTCGAACCATCAACATGTGACATAACGTAATGAACGGATGACAGTTTTAGAAGTACTGCGATGTATGCTACTTATATTGACATAAGTAGTATATAACGCGAATCAGAAATATAATATCTGGCGGCTGGCGATTGCGAAGATCAAGAAAAGAATAATGGGAATACAAAGCAACTGGTATGAACATTCAGGCACAGTGATGTCTGGGACGATTGACTGATATTTGCAAAAGAAGCAATAAAGATTGAAGCAATTATTTTACATTTTGTATGTGAAGTGTTTACTGTATGGTTCTCATATTTTACTGAGAGATTATATTGGTCTCACTCGTGCTTGGTTTTCTTGACTTAATAGTAACGACGCTTTCGAGTGTATTTAATGTTTCAAACAAAACGTTTGTTTCATTATGAATATTGGCACCTCTATTTAAGTGTTAGCATATAACATAATCAGCTATAGAAAAGTAAAATGTATTCGATAAACATAGTTCCTAGACTTCGAACTCCATCACTCAAGTGAACTACACAAATATTGTGTCTTAAAAAATGACAAACTACTGACATTAGTCAGTAGAAAATCAATATTTCTAAATTAATGACATCATGACATGATTTGTGAGCACTTTCTACTGGTCTCCATATGTTTATTACTTGTAAGAAAGCTGGCCTTGCTTTGCTGACCTGTGCTTTCACATCTGTATCAGATCCTCTTTGTTTATCAATCATACTGTTCAGCTTTATAAAGATCTTCCAAAGCTTCCATATCGATTGCGACTTCATAGCAAATCACTGTTTGTAATTCTGGATTTCGTGTTTTAGTTCATTTATGTCGTCTTGTTATTGTCACACCTACTGAGATCTTCTCTTGGTATTTCTGTGAAATATTCTTCTTTCAGGTCTGTCAGCACGTATTCTTCCTCTCAAATTTTTCCGAACAAAATGTGGAGCATGTTTGCATTTATCTCTGCATCTGACTTCAGTGATTCAGCTGGTATGTTCTTTGTAAGGAATTCTGCATGCACTGGTTAGTGTCTGGCACAACCAGAGAGGCTGGTAAATTCTTCTTGCCTGTTCCTCTGTTCACGATCTTCACTGATTGATTTAACCTCTTCATCCTTCGCCGGTCTTTCTACAATATCACCTTTTGTTTTCAAGCTTTTTGATCACATCTCCTACTTCTTTTGTATTTTATTCTCTAGCAGTCTTTACCGCTGCAATTTCCAGGCCTTCCAAATATTTCACTCATCAATTTCAGTACTCTTCTTTACGTGTGTGTATTTTTCTGTGTAGTCAGCCTGTCCTTTTACTTTCTTCTCCTTTGTTCGTCTGTCTGTAACTAATATATTCTTGCCGAATCTTCTCCAATGTCTCAATGGAGATCCATTATTAATGGTGGTGTTTCTTGCGACCCAGAATGCTATGGTAATGTATTAACCATCTTGACGGAGTTAATGCTTCCTTTAGAATCGAACAATTGCAACTCAGTTTTTTCAGATAGAAATGTTACTGTTACCTAAACAGCATTTAATGCTAATTGATCATTATTAATAACAATCTTTTTTTCTTAATTTCATGATTACTTCTCTTTAAAGGGATTCGAACCCTGGTAATTCATTGCAAGGGTGTAAAATATTTTTACTATCTTTTCGGTCTCACATTAAGGTAATTGTGATAGTCGATCATTGGAATAATAAACCATAGAAATTAAAAACAAACAGACATTTCAATGTAAATGTTTCTGCGTAACCATAGTGATTATTTTGAAAATTTAATCACCATAATAAACTATACACAAGGCTAGAATATTCAAATCAAACTCAACTGAATGCAGTTATCACATTGTATATAGAAATGGAAAATTAGGTTACTCATTTCCATTAAATTAATTGTAATGTTATCATGTTAATGTGTTATTTAATTAAAACAAAATGTTTTATTTATTTGTATTAGTTGTTTGAATATTCTCATTGATGTTTATGACAACAGTTAATCAATCTCTTTTGGCATATGTACATAGTGTTAAAACTGCTTGGATATTGCTTTCAAGTTGCGAGTATTCTAAATAGAGATTGATGATGGATAAGAGTGGAAACCAGGTTGCATATTTCATCCTATAAGGAACTTGCCAGATGGATATATCTGCATCTCAAATTTGATGCTCGATCTGGAGCTCTAAACCAGAATAACTTGTTTCAAACGCCATAACATTATTCACTTAGCTTCTCAGTCTATGGACTTATCAATATTGAAGCTATCCGGACAAGATGGATATATCCCAAAAAAGATTGATCAATTAGAGTCGTAAAAATTTCTGGGATGATTCAATCAACCAATGTATATTAATTAAATTTCATCTCATTACAAAAGCCAGTAGCTACCTATGTTCAGTGGTGTTTGAAATGGAAGGTTCTGTGTTCGTGTTCCAGAATGAAAATCAATAATCAGATTCAGATGCACATCCAGCTTCCGAGTGCGAAATAGGACTTCTAACCACTATTCTACTCTGCATAAAAATTGTCATTGTTGAAATGACTTGTATAACATGATAATAATTGAATAAGTTAATCAGTATTTCAGAATAACAATGAAAGCTCCACGACGAAACCATCCAACTCAGAGAACAAAAATCCACCGAAATAGTCCACCTGAGTTATAAATCTTCTTCACCATCTTGAAGGATAACTCTCTTATTAGCTGAAATTATAAAATAATGTAATCAAGTGGTCTATCCAGATAGAGGTTACGTTGGTGAACTAGTATTCCACCTTTCATAATTTAACGGCGAACATCACAAATTAACCTTAGCTAGACAACCAGTGAAAAGTAGGACGCATTTCAAATCTTTTTTTATTTAAGTAATCTACTCTTCAGCTCTGTTGAGAAGCTACATACCATGAAGAAATAACTCCCTGGTACATCCTAGTTTCTAATGATTATCAAATAAAGGTTAATCAAAGATGTTGACCATAAAATTCTCATAGTGATTTCATAGCTTGAATAAAACACATGATGAAGTGATAAGTCTATTTATGTAACTCAACACTGTAGTTCCATTGAAAACATACTGTAGAAGATGATGAACCATGATTATAGTGTCATTATCTTTTAACTATCATAAAGGGATAAAACGATCTAATTATGTTGAGATAGTACAAGTGAAATACATCAACCATATTAAACTACTGACTTATCAACGAATCAGAAAATAGTTTGTAATTATATTGGAACATACAATAAAGACAAGGTGTAATTACAATTTATGGACGTTATCATAAACGATTAATTAAGTTAGGGCTTGAAGTTAAGGCCAAGAATAAGAGTTGGAGTGGAATAATATTTATTTTAAACCAGATGATATCTGGTTATCATTTATCTAGCAAGATTCTTTTGTACAGGATAAGGTTGTTAACCCTATCGATACTTAGAACTTATGCCTTAATCAGGTTTACGTCCGGTAGTAACTGTAGAATGTCTCCAAGAGTATTAAAAACTCAAGAACATTTACAATATTATGAAAAATTCATGAATCACGTTAAAATGTTTTATACTTTCTGATTCTAAGGGTTTTCCCTGAAAAATCAATAAATAATTTCTCAACATCACTCCAATTGATTGATTGATTCGTTGGTATAGTTTACTTTTACTACCGTATGTTAAAATATCAAGGGAATTTAGTAAATAGCTAAAGTTAGTACTATTTCCTGGTGATAGAGAACATAAGTGGGTGATAATCAAATGTATCTGAAAGCAAAATTTCAGAATCACTTAGAAAAATCAAAGAATCATATAGTCAATACTTCATTTACAAAATGTCCATCAATTGTTTCAGACTTCATTGTTCCTTCATTTCCATACCAATCACTCCCTGTTCTCGTTCTATTTCAATTTCGATGGATGATATATACTACTTATGTGTGTCTACATCAATAGCACACGTACAAACCAGATGCCAGTGGAGTAAGAAATCAGAAGGGAGAAGCACTGGAAGTGGATAGGACACACATTGAGAAAAACGCCCAACTGCGTCACAAGGCAAGCCGTCACATGGAATTCTCAAGGCCAAAGGAAAAGAGGAAGACCAAAGAACTTATGACGCCGAGAAACAGAGACAAACATGAGAAAAATGATTAGAAATGGGATAGAACTGGAAAGGAAGGCCCAGGACAGAGTGGATTGGAGAATGCTGGTTGTCGGCCTATGCTCGTCTATTGGGAGTCACTGGCTTAAGTAAGTAAAGTAATCAATAGCACACACATCACCATTGTTATTACTAATAAAAAATTTAGATTAAGGTGCATATTGCCTGCTACTATGGATTTAATGATAGCTTAGGTTATTCAGATAAGTGAAATAATTTCTGAATGATCCCCATTGGAATGGGCTATTGATCATGAATAAATTTAACTTTCTGAGGTGTTAAACTAACCTTTTGAGTTGAAAA